TCGGGAATCGGGCTGACAGCAAATTGGGAGGTAATCCGGGGTAATCCGGGGCAATCCGGGGTCATCCAGGAATTTTTTGTTGTAATCCCTTACCAAAACTGGAAGTGAGATTTTAGTGAGTCCGGTCGCACTCTTATCAACCTTCTTTCGCACTGGTTCGGCAGTGCGAAGTTGATAGGAAAAGGTTTCATTTTTCGCATCGATTTCCGCCCGCCACCTGGTGCGACTTTGGTGCGAATTAAGTGCGACCGTCGCCAAAAAAGGTCGCCGAGACGGGCCTCGAACCGAGTCTTTTTGATCACTGCCATTGCCCCTTATCCACTACACCACGGCTTCGCTCTGCGAGACAGAGGAGCGGGAAGCCGTGTCTCTCTCCGGCCAGCGAGCCGGTGACTCACGCTGCCGCTGCGCTGACACATAACGGCAAGGGATGCAGCTATCAAGTGGCTTTAACTTGCCGCTTTCTATCATTGCCTTGACATTTCGACTCTTGCTGCCTGGACTAGAGGGCTCATGTTCGTTTTATTTTAAGTTCACTTGTTTAATATGTAACAAGGTTATTACCTCCGAAATTCAGACTATGAACGTTAGATCGGTTACTTTTAGCTTAAATATGATACTTTCGTCAAAGAAGAAATTGGAGGCAATCATTTCAAAGTTTCAACTATTTCGCAAATCTTTAACAACTAGAAAATCATGGGAAGAAACTTGACTGTTCAATTTCGCTTATTTTGAACTGGTATAGGTTAGAGGCGTGCTTCCAACTCAACCAATGCGAAGTGGTGTGAAGAAAGTGCGAATAGTGCGAAGTGCGATCTGAGGTGGACCGGATTAGCACTGGACACACCAATTTCGCACAGTTCCACCTTGGTCATACTTTCGGCACACCTACTGTCGGAAGGAAAGTTTGAAGGACGCACTGGGACCTACTGAATTAGCACCGTGGCACACCGATGCACACTAATATCCTCCAGGATCCACACTACTTTCGTACTTTCGTTTTGGTAAGGGATTCGGAGGTAATTTGGGGATAATCCGGGGTAATCCGTAATTCGGCTGACACGAAATTTACCAGTCGTTACCCCCTCGACGTCGACCCGACGCCTCTGCACTCTGGAGGCGTCGTGCAGCTCCGCACCGCGCTGCCCGGCGCTTCTGCCGAGGCTGGCGCGCTGGCCGGGGTGTTCCCGAGATTTAACTTTCATCAGCACAACCGGAACAAAGGCCGCCGAGGGAGCGCCGCGTCCCCACTGGGGGGGACCCGCGCCGTCCGGGAGTCTGAAAAGGAAAGTGGAGGGAAGGTGTCGGCCGGGACGTCGCCTAGGCCAGGGCCTTGCCCAGGGCCTCCAGCGGTGGCGTGTCCACCACCTCGACGGCGGCGTTTGCGGCGGCAGCACGGCACAGCGCCAAGCACCGCTCCTGCACCACCAAAAAAAAGAGAACAAAGTGTAATTTAATCAGCCGGAACTCCGGAGCCTCTCCGGGTGCGCCAGCCACGCCAGCATGCAGTGGGGTCGTCCCGGCCCAAGCGCCCGGCTTCGGCCTGTGGCTTCGCTTGCTTCGCTTGCTTCGCTTGCTCTGCTCTGCTTGGCGCGGCCTGGGCGTAGCTGGAGGCGCGGCCCCGCGCGGCCCCACGCCACTCAAAGTGGCCCCGCAACGCATGCTCAAATTTTCTTTTTGACCAGGCAGAGGCCAGCAGGGAGGCCAGCGCGGGGCAGCACAGTGGGCCAGCTTGCAGCATGTTTCCGGGGAGTGAAGTGCGCCTCGTTCTTTTTATCTTCTTTCTCTCTCCTTTTTTTGTTGGTCTTTCTCTTGCGCAGAGCGAAAGAGAGGGCCCGGCCGGTGCTGCTGTTTAGGCGTGGACACATACCCGGCGGCACTCAGAACCAGTGACGCACACACGGCAAAGAAAGGCTCAAAAAGAATAAAAAAGTTTGCGTGAATTTCTGAAACACATAATCAGCGCTGCGTTTCCCTTTATACTTTCGGATGGCAAACTAGAGCCCGGGCCGCGGATGAAATATTCAGCCACACGGCAAGAAAGCGGCCGCCCCGCCCCACCCCGCCTCCGGGAACCAAAGTGGGATGGCTCGGCCGGGGATCGAACCCGGGGCCGCGCGGCGTAATCACGCGACGAGACACTGAATGCGGAATGAGGCGGATGGGAGGTGATGACAAGCAGCGGTGCTGATGAACACGCGCCCAGGGCGACATGTTTGCGGGAGAGAGAGGAAGAAGCAGAGAGAGAGATCCGCGATAAGGTGCAGGCTATTACGGGGCCACACTTGTAACATGCTCGCCGAGATGAGCCGGGGTGGGGGGGGGGGGGGGAGGGGGAGGCCAGCGAGCGAGGGGTGGGAGGCGGAGGCACAGAGACACTCCCGGCCATAACTTTGGCCACCCCCCGCAGAGTTTCTCATCGCCTCTAATACTTTACCGTTCAAACCCCGCCCCGTGCTAAAGCCTCGTAGGCCCGCGGCACGCTGCGGGGAGAGAGGAGGAGGGGGGGGGGGGCACGGGGGCAAGAAGCACGTGGATTCCAGCGATTCCGCGCCGGTTCGCCGTTCTCGCTGTCGAAGCGCAGCGGTGGGCTGTAACAATCGCGCGATGTATTCGCCGAGAGCTGCTCTGCGGGACGGCCGGACTAGGCCCTAGGCCCCGCCGGTCCGCCGGCCCGCCAGTGCTCCTCCCATTTACTGCCTATTATTTTTCTCCCGCGAAAACAAAAGTGGAGTTAATTTGAGCAGCAGCCTCGGCCGCGTCGTCCGGCTGGCTCCAGGTCCCTTTTGTTCCCACCGCGGCCGTGGCCCTGGCCGTGGCCCTGGCCGTGCAGCGCGCGCCGTGTGTGTATTCATCGCTTCCTTTTGCGAGTTTTCCGTTCCGCGGGCCGACCGCAGACCGCGCGGCGCCCGAGTCAAGTCAACGCCGAGTTTGAGCCCTGAGCCCCTCCCGGCTTGCTCCCGGCCCGGCTAAGTGACAGCGACGCTCAGCAGGCTGTCTCTCTCGCACGCATGGAGCGCGCCGTGCGCGAGAGGGACGCAAACGACTCTCTGAATCAGTCTGCTGAGCGCCGAAACTAATTGCACTGCCGCAACGCGGAGACAATCCACGCCATCATAAACACTCAACTCGGGCCGCGGCTTGCGCCTCGAGGAGGGCAACGACGGGGTGCTGCTGGTGGCGGTGGTGGCACTCATCCGCTCGGAGCAGACTAGCAGACGACGCCCTGCAAGACGTTGCGCAAGAGGGAAGGGGGAGTCTCAGCCGTGCAACAAATAATGCCAAAGTTGCATACTACATCAGGTCCGAATTGCGCCTTCAGCCACCCTCGAGGAAATTGAGGGGGGAGGGGGTCCATCCATGATTCGCTCCTCTGGCAGGGGGGGCACTGCTCACCGGGCTGAGCGGGGCTGAGCGGGCTGAGTGAGTCTTGGCGAGGACTTCCCTCGCTCCTCCCGGCTGGCTGGGAGAGAACAATCCAATTTTTCAACGTTTTTCTTTCTCCCTGCGTCCCTCCCTGCTGCTCTGCTGGCTCCGTTTGAACCAGGTACCGGCCGGGTCGGCGAGGGGGTGACCCCCAGATGGGGTGGGGGAGGGGAGCACTCAAGGGCGTATCACCAGACCGTGTTGGGGGCGGGGGAGGGGGGAGTGGTGTGGTGTACACAATCGGATTGAATCAAGACCCCACACCTCCGACCCAGCAGGCCCAGCAGGCCTACCCCTCCCAGTTACTGCACTTCGTGTCTTGAACCCTCTCCCGGTGGCAGTGTAGTGTAGGAGCCCATCCGGAGCCCATCTGCGGAAAATCTGGATACTCGAATCGGCTCTCTAACGTCGGGATGGAGCTAGGGTCAAAAACTGCGACGTTTGGTTAAGGTAATATAAAAAATGTTTATTGGCATCAGCAAAACAAAGTTCTCAAACAGAGTATCACAACAATCGTAGAGGCTCTTCCAGAGCAAGAAGACGCACACGCCGCACGAGGAGAGTAAAGTACCGGGTGGTCCAAAAACCCCGCGAGAAGACAGGCTCCGCAACGCTCGGGGTTTTCGGACCGCCTGGCGTATATGCATAGGTTTTGACACAAGGTACGACATGAAACTAAATCTGGTTGCAGCGCGCCAAACAAGTCAAAGTGGAAAGCCGAGGCTTTTCTATTTGGTCCAGTTTCACGAGATAATATTGAAGTAGTCACGACAATAATGCGTTCATGATGGGCAGTTGTCGACCTAACGATAGATTCTTTTCTTCCTCAGTAATAGAAACAAGGGTACACACTTTTACTACTTCACAGACATAGCAAGAAATATTTAAATTTGTTTGTAAACTTAAAATAATACAATGCTTCATCATAGACCGAGTCAATCGGGTCACAGCTTTCATAATCTAAAATACAGCGCCTAACGAAGAATAAGTCATCAATATACATATATAATATCTGAAAATAATATCGTACTATCTACACATTAAGAGGCCTTTCGCTCTGACGAGTTTTTATTTACATAAAATATACAGTCTTAGATTTTATGATATCGCTCACGCTTCCCATGCAACTTCAGGTGACCCAGCGGCTATGTGAGATATGCAGATGACTTCATGCGACAAAGGAGAGTCTGGTTTTGACCGACGTGAGGGCGAAGAATGAATATTTACACAAATGCAAAACCGAAAAAAAAGAGATAAATAAAACGAACACAACGGAGCGGAAACACCAGAGTTATTGGTTTGAACACAACAGACACTTTGTATATCGTGGAAGTGGCAAAAGAATGGGCTTGCAGCATGAAAACATCGACATACATTTTCAGTCGAGGCGCCGCCAGGAAACCAGAATACGCAATCCGTGGCCGCACCACGAAACGCGCACACAAACGCACGCACACACAGTCACACACACACACACGCACGCACTTATACAAAGGAGAAAGTCACAGCACTGCGAGGCCCCGCCCCTGGCCGCCCTGGCTGCCCCGGCCGCGGCAGGAGCAGGACGCCGCCTGTCATGTGGGGTCGGACCGTCTGCGGCTGTGGTGGTGGGTCTGCGCCGTGGCGGTGGCCGAGGTCTGGCTGGCGGCGTGGTGCCGAGCCGAGTGCCGCCGGCCCTGGTGGTGCAGGCCGTGGTGGTGGTGGTGGTGCAGCGGCTGGTGGTGCTTGGAGATGATGCCGAGGGTGCGCGCCACCTGCGACAGCCGCGCCAGCACCTCCTCCTGCACCAGCGAGAAGGCCGTGGCGATGAGCACCAGCCCCAGCAGCAGGTACGCCACGCACGCCGACACCTGCGGGCAAGGCAAACCAGGTTCGACAACCATTCACGACGACGGAATTCCGAACTGACTGGGCAGAGACGCACCTGCAGCTGGCCGCCCTGCGACTCGGCGCTCTTGAGCGACTTGCCGGGCACCAGGTCGCCGAAGCCGATGGTGGAGAGTGTGACGAAGCAGAAGTAGGCGCCGTCCAGAAAGCTCCACTCCTCCCAGGCGGCGAACACGGCGGCGCCGAGGCAGATGTAGGCCGCCAGCCCCGTCAGCACCAGGTAGATGGGCACGCGCGGCGGCGGTGGCGGCGACGCGTCGCCCAGGCCCAGGCCACCCAGGCCCAGGTCGGACGGGTCGGCGGCGGGGGGCGGCAGGGTCGGTGGCGGCGGGATGACGTAGCGACGCGGCGGCGGCGGCGGCACGCGCTTCACCGGCGTGGACTGCGCCATGGCGCCCGGGTCCACCCCAGTCATACCCGAGGCCGAGTTGGAGCGGCACAGCAGCGGCACGCGGGACGGCGTGGAGTGCGGCCCGCAGCTGCAAAGGAACAAGGGTCTGGCGTTAGACTGGGCGAACAAAATGAAATGATAAGTCGGGAGTCGAACTCCGGAATCGAGGGTCTGGCGCAGATGCCTCTGCATCGTTGTCGGTCTCGGCCTCGGCCTCGGCCCGCGCGGCATTTCAGACATTTCAAGCATTCCCGATAGCCGGGAAGCAAACAAAAGAGACACAACGACGCTTACCCCGCCCACCACGCATCCCTCTATGGTCTGCCTTATTTGCCATGGCGGCTGAAAACCGAAACCAAAATAAGAATACTGCGAGGGCGGGGCGCCTTCCGCCTTCGGCCTGGCCGTCGGCACTCGGCCCCGCTGCCTCGCTTCGCTTCGGCGTGCTTCCGCGTGCTTCGGCGTGCTTCGGCGTGCTTCCGCGTGCTTCCGCCTGGCTGCAGCCGGATGCCGGATTCCTCGCCGCCCACAACAAGTTCCCGATGCGGGCCGCCCGACCCACGCCCTCCGCCCGGCTACCCGACCCGGTCTGGCCAAGCGCCGCCAAGCCCCGCCAAGCGCCGCCAAGCGCCGCCAAGCGCCGCCAAGCGCCGCCAAGCGCCGCCAAGCGCCGCCAAGCGCCGCCAAGCGCCAACGCCAAGCGCCGCCAAGCGCCGCCAAGCGCCGCCAAGCGCCGCCAAGCGCCGCCAAGCGCCGCCAAGCGCCGCCAAGCGCCGCCAAGCGCCGCCAAGCGCCGCCAAGCGCCGCCAAGCGCCGCCAAGCGCCGCCAAGCGCCGCGGCCGGCGAGCGCCCTTACGGGCAGCGCCGGGCAGCGCGGAGGTGCGCTGGAACGCGGAGGCCGGCTGCGGTCAATTCCGGAGTCGTTTTCGTCGCTCTGTCTCCCTTGCACCCGTGAGCCTCATGACAGCGAGAGAGACAAAGTCAGTCTTCGGGAGGCGAAGCGTCGGGCGATGCCGTGGGGCCTGGCGGTAGAACGGGAGAGAAAACGACGCGCCCGCCGCCATCGCCGTGCCGCTGCTCGCCGTGCGCACAGCAGCACGGCTCTCGACACCACCATCGGCCTGGCAAATCTGCCGCCCGATTCGGTTCCGCCACCAGCCACGCAAAACACGCAAAACACGCAAAACGAGCGAAAGGCTCGGAGCGGAGCAGGCCCGGGACGGCCGGGACCCGTTGCCGAGGTGGGGGTGGCGTTACAACCCCCTACTCCTCACCTAACTGCGTCGCTGCGTCTCATTCTCCGGCTCCGGTGTCGTCTCTGGAGGGCAGTAGAGGGTTCGCAGCCCGCGCGGTCCATCCATTACTGCCTACAGCCACTTTGTTATTTTCTTTTCACGCTGTTACTGCGAAATAATAATTCCCCGGCCGGCGACTGGAGTATGGTGTAGTACCGCTCGCTCTTCTCGCCCCCCGCGGCGCGGTGGCCATGGCCCAGGCCGTGGCGGCGACGGAGGTGTGTAGCTTTAATGTCCTGCAGGCCTGCCGCGCCACAAAGTTTCTCTCCCCCTCCCTTGTCCCGCTACGACTGTGACTTTGTCTGAGGCAGCCCCAGCAGCAGGCGCGCGCGCCGCCCCCGGCCCTAGTCCTCGCGGCCCGCCCGCCCGGGGACAACGGGGACGTCGGGGACGGCGTCGAGCGGCCGTTCACCCGCCTTGGCGTTCCCAGGCGATAATGATGATGACCCAGGTGGCCATTAGTTCCCCGCGGCCCGATGTCTTTTTCCGCCGCGGCCGGGACTTGAACCCGCGGCCGTCGCCGACAGTGACGTCTCAACAACGGCCTCGCCATTAGGACGACTGCACCTCGGCGTGCCTGGCCCAGGGCCTGGCCGTGCCGCGGATTTTCTTTCCGGGGCGTCTTTTCCGAACGCCGCTAATGCTCGCTGAGCCTCGCCCCGACCTCGGCCTCGACAAGCATGCCTCCGCCATTAAACGCTTGCAGTAATTACGCCATCGCCTTTGCTCTCTTTGTTTTTCCCCCTTTTTTCGTTCATTCTCGAGTCTCTAGTTTGACAGCCCGCGACCCGGCGCCGCGCCCTGGGGAGGCTTCATCCCCGCCGCCGAGAAGCAGTCCTGGCAGCTGATCGCGACGTGCACCGCGACGGGCTGGCTCCGGGGAGAGAGATTGGACAGCCCCGCCGCGCATGCAGGCACCATGCACAGCGTGCTCATTCCGCACAGTCGCTCTGTCTCTCTCGCACCCATGCGGGCCTATGCGGGACACGCCCAGGGCGGCCCAGGCCGGCCCAGGGTGCGAGAGAGAGCGCAGCAGCGCGGCACTGTTCGGAATGCAGGCAGGCGTCGCGTCGGGAGGAAGCAGGCGGGAGATAAGCAGGTCGCACGGGGGCGAGAGGGTCTCCTTGTCACGCGTGTATCGCGATAAGCGGCGCGGTCACCCGCCTATTATATTGGTTGGCGCTGCGCTTGCCCCGCCGCCCCGCCTCCCAGCCCGCATGGGATATTAGTTGCCCCTGGAGACCCGCCGCCCCGCCGGCCTGGGCCCTGGGCCCCGGGCCCCACCCGGGCATCCAGCGCGGCGTGGCGGGGCGTGGCGGGTTCATGGCAGGGCGTGGCGGGGCGTGGCGGGGCGGGGCGTGGTGGGGCGTGGTGGGGCGTGGCGGGGCGTGGCGGGGCGTGGCGGGGCGTGGCGGGGCGTGGCGGGGCGTGGCGCGGCGTGGCGTGGCGGGGCGTGGCGGGGCATGGCGGGGCGTGGCGGGGCGTAGCGGGGCGTGGCGCGGCGTGGCGGGGCGTGCGCTGAATCTCAGCGGCCTCTACGTGAAGTGCGCCTCTTGGCGGCGACACGCCATGCGACACGCGCAAGCGGTGCCCCGCTCTGCCAGGCAACGGAAAGAGAGAGATTAAATTGGAGGATCGCGCCGAGGCGTGGAGCTGTCGCCCCCTCCTTGTCGCGCTGGCGGGTCGAGCTCGGTCGAGCTCGGTGCCGTGCTGCCCTGGCCGAGGCGGCCCTGGCGGCGGCGTGACTCGGCGGCCTCGCTTGACGCGGCGCGGCCCGCCCCTGGCCCGGGGGCGCCAAGTCCTTGGCGGGGTGGTCCGGCCCCCACAAGGCCCGGCCCGGCCCCCACCAGCACAGCCGCTGCAGCCCGCAGGCCGCTGTTGCTTTATACGTGCCACAGAAATAACGAAACGGTATGGGACAAGGGGGCTGGGCCAGACAGTAATGAAATTTCGGCTCGCTGGCTTTGAATCCGATATGAGAGACCTCGCCGCAACGGCAGCGCGCCAGCGCCACTCCCGGCCGAGAGAGCTGGCGGCGGCTCGGTGCGAGGCTCGGTGCGAGGCTCGGTGCGAGGCTCGGTGCGAGGCTCGGTGCGAGGCTCGGTGCGAGGCTCGGTGCGAGGCTCGGTGCGAGGCTCGGTGCGAGGCTCGGTGCGAGGCTCGGTGCGAGGCTCGGTGGCAGCAGCACGCCGCCGAGGCGCGCCGAGGGGATAGAGGCGCGTAAGGGGATGAGGAGGCGCCGGCCCAAAGAGCGGCACGGCGGAGCGCGAGGAAGGTCAGGGGAGGCGCCGCGCCGAGGACGAGGGTGAGGGCGAGGGTGAGGACGAGGACTGGGACGAGGACGAGGACGAGGACGAGGACGAGGTCGAGGTCGAGGACGAGGACGAGGGCGAGGGCGAGGACGAGGACGAGGACGAGGACGAGGACGAGGACGAGGACGAGGACGAGGACGAGGACGAGGGCGAGGACGAGGACGAGGGCGAGGACGAGGACGAGGACGAGGACGAGGACGAGGACGAGGACGAGGACGAGGACGAGGACGAGGACGAGGACGAGGACGAGGACGAGGACGAGGACGAGGACGAGGACGAGGGCGAGGGCGAGGCCGCGACGACGAGGCCGCCGCGGTCAGGAGGGCGAGGACGGAGGAGAGGACGAAGCCGTGGCCGCGCCATGCAGGCGCCACAAAGGACAAACCGAAGCGGAGGGCCTTGCCGGCCTTGCCGGCTGCATACCACTGCCAGCGCGCCAGTGTGCCAGCGCCAACCTCCCCCTTCTCGGCTTCCTCTGCGCGGCTGCGCGGCTCGCCCGAAAGGCCGCAACCCCCGCCAAGACAAACACAGTTATCTGGAAATACTACTGCCCCACTTATTGGCAGTAATGAAAACGTTTGGCCACCCTCCCTGCGTGCCCCTGGAGCAGCCCGGCCCGAAGCCCCAGCCGGGTTGGGGAAGCTCGCGAACAATAGCAGAGCGCGTGTACCTTCCGCCGTGGTTGTCGTCGTCGTCCTCGTTCTCCTCCTCCAGGGCGGCGAGGCCGGCGTCGTGCACGACGTCGTGGTGCTGCGCGTGGCACGCCACGGGGCAGCTGCCGGGGCAGGCCTGCGCGCACCCGGACGGGCAGCTCGGAGCGCAGCCGGGCACGCATCCAGGTGCGCACCCTGGCAGGCAGCCGGGGGGGTTGTTCTGAAGCTCTCGCAGCACGGCGACGGCGCCCGGCTCTTCGTGCATCACCTGGTACTCGACGCACTCCGTCAGCAGCCTGCAACAAGGCGGAAAGGTTCAGGTCGTGGCTCCGTCCCGGCCCTGCCCCGGCCCTGCCCCTCCAGGACGCTGGGAAAGGGGATACAAGTCGAATGGGTTGGTGTCCTGATGCCGGCAGCGTAACGAAGTTAGTTACTCTCAGTAAGCCTATTACGGCGGGAAGGCGGAGCGGGCGGACGCGCTGCCCCGCCGTACACACGAACGAAACGAAAGTCTGCAAACACTCAGCTGGCTGCCATGCCATCTCGTCTTGCCATCCCCGCGACGTCCCAGCGACGTCCCTGGCCCCAGGCCGTGCCGCGCCGTGCCGCGCCGTGCCGCCAACAGGCTCAGGGGCTGCGGGGTCGCCTGCTCCGCTGTCTCGGCCTCTGGGGGCACGACGGCACGACGGCACGACGTCGCAGTCTCCCCCCAAAACCCCGCGGCCCGTCTGTCCGACTGTCCGTCGTCCGTCAGGCGGCAGCGACGCCGCGGAGTGGGCGTCCTTGAGCTCCGGGCTGTCAGCCTCTGGTTCCAGTCGCTCGCCTGTCACACAAACTCCATTTTCACGTTCCCATTCGATCATGTTTAATCACTAATAAATAATTCAACCCGTGCGGTGAGACAGCGTAGTGACTCTACTTACACGCCATGCTCTGACAGCCTAAACAAACACAACCACCGCGCCGCAGAAGACCAACAACGTCCACATCGTGGTCGTGCCGTAGTGCCAATGAGAGCTCCGTCTGCGGCCGTGCGTGCGTTAGGCGGCAAACGCGGTGCACGTATCTCTCTCTCTCTCTCTCTCTCTCTCTCTCTCTCTCTCTCTCTCTCTCTCTCTCTCTCCCTCCCTCCCATCCTCCCACCCTCTCCCCGCTGGGGGTGGGAGGTGCACCTCCGCCGCGTGTGTTTGCGCTGCTCTCCACCGTTGGCGGGTGGAAGACTAGAAGGTGGAGGCGGCCAAGAACAAAAGGACGCCCCGTTATTAACGGCGAGGGTCGCGGTGGCGGCGCGGTGGCGGCGCGGTGGCGGCGCGGTGGTCGACGGCGTCCTCGCGATTAGTGCGCCGAGGCCGCTCGCCGCTGCGCACCTTGGCGGCCGGCTGGCTTTGCCGCCGCACCGCGCCGCACCGCGCCGAACAATGCCGCCAGAAGAGAAACTTGCGCAATGACAAGGCCGTGACCAAGTCGGCGAGCTCCTCCAGGAACACCAACGCCGCCTACTTGGCCGCGGCGCGCACCGCGCACCGCCTTTTCGCTTTCCGGGGAGTTTGCCACCCCGTTCCGCGGGCAGGCTGGCTCCGACGACGTCGCGCTGTCTCTGTCGCACGCGTCGCACGCATGCGGCGTCCCAGAGGGGTGCGAGAGAGACAGAGCGAGCGAACGGCTCCTTGGATCCGCGGGTGGCTGGCGCCGCTAGCGGTGTGCTCGCTGCTCCGCGCTCCGCGCCGCGCCAATCCTTTCAACACACGCCAAGTGCTTCTTTAGCGGAGTTGGCGGGATAGCGCGCTTCGCCCCTTCACCGCGCTGCAGCTTTGGCTCGGCGTGGCGCGAGGGGCGCGAGGCGGGGCCGGGCGAGGCGGGGCCGGGCGAGGCGGGGCCGGGCGAGGCGGGGCCGGGCGAGGCGGCCGGGCGAGGCGGGGCCGGGCGAGGCGGGGCCGGGCGAGGCGGGGCCGGGCGAGGCGGGGCCGGGCGAGGCGGGGGGCCGGGCGAGGCGGGGCCGGGCGAGGCGGGCCGGCGGCGGGCGCCGGCGAGGCGGGGCCGGGCGAGGCGGGGCCGGGCGAGGCGGGCCGCGGGCGGGCGGGCGAGGCGGGGCCGGGCGAGGCGGGGCCGGGCGAGGCGGGGCCGGGCGAGGCGGGGCCGGGCGAGGCCCATCCCAGCGTTTCAAACCAAAGATCCCCGCCATTGCGAATCCCACATGTGGCGCGGCGCCGCCCAGATCCCTCCTGGAAGACCGGCAGGGAGATCAAGAGGCACTCGCCCCGGGGATCGACATGACGGCTTGTCAGACAGGGCCTCGTTGGCCACGGCCAGTGCAATAGAGCACCCTTCCCCCACCCGGCCAACCCTCTATTTGCATTCGATACGTTTTGCATACCCACCAGGACCATTATAATTTCCCCCATCCCCTTACCTCCGTTTGACGGGGTGCCCCCCTCCCCTCGGCCCCCTGCCGGCCCGCATTACGGAGGCAGGTCGCGCTGACCACTCAGCTCAGCTGCTTTTCATCCGTCATGGCCACGACCGGCACGGAGGGCGCCTCGGTGTCCTTTACCACGTCGTGGGGGCGCGGGGCAGCCAGGGCAGCCAGGGCAGCGAGGGGCGCCGGCTGGGCCTCGCGGGAGAGGTACTGTGTGACTAATTGCAACAGAGTGAGTGATGCGGTGGGGGAGGTGAGCGCGGTGCTCGTCCGTGCCGCCGCCATGTTGGTGGAGGAGGTCGTGGCGGCGGTGGCGGTGGTAAATTATGGGAGGCGGTGGTATTTCCTGGTGACGCCGGCGGTAATGGTGATGGTTGGCCGCGGGGGGAAGGCAATGTTCTGGTGACGGTGAAGGAGCCCTGAAACGCGGCGGCCCCGCAACCTCACCGCCGCTTCACTCTGCAGCCCCCGCCGCCGGCCCGGCCCCCGTTGGGGCGGCCTAACTCTCGGAAAAAGCAAAAGCCGAGAAAAACAAACAACATATGAGGGTCACTTGTTTAGGACGGTATGCACTCCCGGGCAGCGCAAAAACGAGAGCGCTCCTCTGGCCGCGTTGGCCGCGCGGCAGGGGCTCTCCATCACGTGGGCATGTCGGCCGTGTCGGCACCCTCACTCCAGTCACTCCAGTCACTCCGGCCCGCGGTGAAAAATTGGCGGCAGGAGCGATGTGCAAAGGACACACGCCGACGCGTGTAGGGCGCGGCGCGACGCGACATGGAGGCTGCCTAGCGGAGCGGGGCCGCGGGCCACCGGGGCCACCGAAGCCGGCCCGGCACGGCCTCGCCGCTGTGGGGTTGGCAGTGACTCTGTGATTCGGAACTTCAAGCACCCTGCTTGGCCAGCCGCACTCCACAGTCGTTGGCAGGCGAGAGCGTAGAGGCATTGGTTGGTTGTTCGAGTCCCGCCGTTTCTTTGCTCTTTTCTGCGCGCTAACAGGGCGAAGCGATCAAGCCTGGCTTCATAAACGCCGCCTTACCGATCGGTCTCCATGAGCCGCGGTGCCTGAAAGCGTAGGGGCATTGGTATCCCAATCCTGTGAACCGGGGATCGATGCCCACTGGATTCACAATTTTCGGACCATCCGACTTCGCAATGATGCGTCGACGGGCGCTTCCCTCGCGGTGCTGACTCCGCTCACTCCATTAGGTTATTATATACAACCTCTCGGCGATTGGCCATTGGACACCGACAGCTCCGTGAACGTGTCCTCATCGGCTGGCGGGGGGAGCGCCGGTCTAGCCCTTAATGGTAATGGTAATGGCGGGTAGGCAACATCTCCGCCACGCCGCGCACCCGAGTCGGCGCGGTGCCTACCCGCCAGGCGCTCCATTGCGTCCGGGAAGTCGCCTCCCTTGTCAGTGCCCGCACACACGCGAGCACGGCGTGAGGCGCGGCGCGCAGCGTGCAGCCGCGTGCAGCATTGGGCCTTACTTGTGCACGTCGGGCGTGAGGTGCGCCGGGTGTTTGGGCTGCAGCCGCGTCACCACCTGCCCGCCTCGGTTGTTGGCCGTCTTCACGACGGTGTTGTGGAGCTCCTGCTCGCGCTCCCGGTCCCGGAACGGCTGGGACCAGTCCAGGGGCACGCCGCCCGCGCCGCCGGCGCTGCTGTAGTACCTGCAACAAGGCACAGCTGTTGAAGTCGTGAGGGTCGGCGACGTCGACGCAGAAGCCGAGCGCATGGAGTGCACGCGGCTGAGTAAGCGAGTCATCAAACCATCGGATCCGGGACAGAGTAATTCAAATCCCGCTGCAGAGTCTCGTCAGACGCGAGTCTTGTCTTCCACGAAAACGCGCTGGAGTGCACCGCGCAGTGCGACTCACGTCTCCGTGTGCCGCGCTCCGCAGTCCACCCCGTGCTCAATGACGGTCCCTGGGGCTACTGCGGCCACGGCACGAGAGTCCCGCGGCGTAAACACTTGAACCAATCTCCGACCGCAGCCCCTCCCCCGCCTCCCACCTTTTCCAGTGGGGCGACGGCCACTTCTCCCTCGCTAGTGCCCGCCCCGCCCTCGCCCCGCCCTCGCCCCGCCCTCGCCCCGCCGGCCGGCACGGCTGCCAGATGGTGTGTGAGGTGGTCCGCGAGTGTGTGCGCACGCCGCCACGCCGCCACGCCGCCGGGCCTCGGCCTCGTCAGCGCGCTGACGGCGTTGCGACGGCCCGACATTGGCCAGGCACTGCCGAGACCGCCGCGCAGCCTCATTCCGACGGGGCGGCGACGGAGTGGCGGAGTGGCCGACGTACGCGGGGCCGCGGCCTGAGCCACTGCCTCAGGCACCGGGCTTGAGCAGTGCTTCGTCGCTCTATCTCTCTCACACTCATGCGCACCCCGCACGGGTGCGAGAGAGACAGAGCGACCGATCCAGTCGTTCTGAATGAGCCTACAGGGTAGGCGAGGTTCTCGAGGACCGCCCGGTCGAAATGGAGCGGACGGCGCGGCACCGCAAACGGACGCCGAAGACGTCAGCGGTAAAGGGGATGGAGTGGGAAGGGAGGGGGCGGGCCTCAAACAACTTCCGATCAGGACCAGTCCACAGAAAATATTTGCTTTCCGCGAGTTGGGCCGGGTCAGGACCCCGGACGGGCAGGCCGGCGGGGCCGGCGCGGGGCCGGCGGGCTGCAGCGTCGTCGACGGCGACGGCCAGGCGCGGCGCGGCGCGGCGCGGGCAGCCAGCAACCCACAGCGAGCGACCCAAACACAAAAGGAGAGAGACGGCAAAGGTAATTAAAGGGTCCGGCAGGGCGGGCCGGTGCCAGCCGTCGGCAGCCCGCCGTCACGGGGACCTTCAAGTTTCTTCATGCGGCCCGAGCGCGGACGCGAGCGAGGACGCGAGCGAGGACGCGAGTCCTGTCCCCTCAGGGCAGGAGTTGAGTCGGAAACGGACAAATGATGAATGACCCCGACGGGTGCGTTTTTGTTCTTTTTGCGGAGGGACGGGGCTCGTGGGAAACGACCCCCGCGGCCTTGGCGCGGCTCGGCCGGAGACGTCCGCATGCATGCACTGCCCGCGCAAAGAGTGTCCGGCATTACAACGACGAGCGATTCGCAGCGCGGTGAGCGCGGCCCGCCCCTCCGACGTCCGCATGCATGCACTGCCCGCGCAAAGAGTGTCCGGCATTACAACGACGAGCGATTCGCAGCGCGGTGAGCGCGGCCCGCCCCTCCGACGTCGCCCTCACGCACACAGACACAGGCACACACACAGACACACACACACACAGGGGACGCGCGCTCCAGGCAGAAACATGCGCTGCTTTCAAGGCACTTCGCCTGGAAACACGTGTGTGTGTACGAGGCGACATGACCCACGCGAGCGAGGAGGGGCCAGCACAGCCAGCACACCGGGCACGCCGCTTTGTGGGTTAGTGGGTGAACTCTCGCCGCGACTCTCGCCGCCAGCGGTGCAAACGGGCCGACGAAAAAACAAAAGTATCGCCTTCGGACGGGTTCGAACTTGCAACTGGCCGGCACGAAACTCACCCGAAACTGCCCGCGGCCGCGCAGCCCGGCCCGCAGGCGAGCGTTCCGCAGGCGTTGTTGGCGGCGGCGCGGTGCGGCGGCGCGGCGGCGGCCGGGCAGGCGATGGAGCCAGGCGGGCCCAGTGACACGCTGCCGTCGCCGAAGCCGTTGTAGCCCACCCGCTGCGGCTCCTGCTGTAGCTGCTGCTTCTGGCCGTGGCCGTCGCCGTGGACGTCGCCGTGGCCGTCGCGGCACGGCCGGCAGCAGGCGTGGCTGTACGCGAACTGGAAGGTGTCCGCCAAGAAGGAGCCCAGGTTGGACAGGCACAGCAGCATCAGCGGCACGCCCACCAGCGCGTACAGCATCGTGACCACCTTGCCCTCCGGGGTGCGCGGTGCCAAGTTCCCGTACCCTGAAAAGCAGAAATGACATTGAAATCACGCAGTCAAAGGTCCTATCCTCGGCGCCGCTCGGACCGCAAAACCGAAACGGAGTGATTATTTTCGCGCCAAACATTCTGCGAGCGGGCAGCGCCGCGCGGTACGTCCTGCCTGACTTCCATCGTCGCCGTCGTCTTTACCTTCCCCGCGAAAATCACATCAGCGAAGCAAATCCCCGCGCCACTGCCTTCTTCCGATCGCGGCGTCGCGGCGCCCCCCCCCCTCCATTTTCTTGCTCTTTCTTTCCTCCCGGTTTTCCTTTTCTTTCCATTCGGCGCTCTGCATCGGCATCGTTACTCGCACAAATACTGCGACACTTCTTGTGCGCCAGCACTGTGTTCAGCCGTCAGTCTGAGGGCCAACCTGTGTCTGTCTGTCTGTCTGTCTGTCTGTCTGTCTGTCTGTCTGTCTGTCTGTCTGTCTGTCTGTCCGTCTGTCTGTCTGTCTGTCAGTCGGCGTGCTAGTGCGGCGTGTGTGTGCGTGCCCCAGTGCGAAACTCTTTGCCGCTATCAGGGTGCGACATCGTCCCACTTGCCTGGCTGTGCCGGCGGGGCACGTGAATGAGGCCCACCACGCTGAGGGCGCACAAAACTAGCGGCCTGTCGGCCTATCGCGCCCCACACGTCATCCCGCTGTGCAGAGCCACACCGTGGTGCAGCCAACGGGAGTACATCGTTTGTACGAGTGTGTCAGAAATAAAATCGACACGATGAAGAAAATTTCAGCGAAAGAGGGCACCCCGGCTGGGTGAGGCAACGAGTTTGATCCGCACAGGAAAAATAAAAACATTAAAAATTTACGGAAGTGCGGAGAGTTGATCTCACGATCCATATTCCAGTGGAGGAGCGGTTGTGGTGGTGATTGTGATGGTGGTCTTGCTTCCCTCCTCCCTGTAGTGTGTCCGGCTGGGCCGAGCTCGGGGCCGAGGCTGGGACCGACTCGGCACGGAACGATCATCAGGGGCGGCCAGTGACACGGCAGCCCGGCAGCCCGGCCCCACCAAGTCCTAACTAACGGAGCCCAGCCCGCCTCCCTGCCCGCCTCCCTGCCCGCCTCCCTGCCCGCCTCCCTGCCCGCCTCCCTGCCCGCCTCCCTGCCCGCCTCCCTGCCCGCCTCCCTGCCCGCCTCCCTGCCCGCCTCCCTGCCCGCCTCCCTGCCCGCCTCCCTGCCCGCCTCCCTGCCCGCCTCCGCGCCGCTATCCGTTTCCAGAGGCGTCCGTACGTCACTGTTTGCACTGTTCGAAGCCTTCGGGGAGGGGGCGGCCAAGAGCGGCCAAGAAGCAAGGGGAAGCGGCAGACGAACTCGACGAGGAAGGCGGGGCTGGCGGGGTGCTCGGAGGGGCGGTGTGCGCCACAGTGCACGCGTTCCGCGGTGCGGCTGAGTCCGCGGCCGTGTGCGGCTGCCCCGGCTGCCCCGGCTGCCCGGCTGCCCCGGCTGCCCCGGCTGCCCCGGCTGCCCCGGCTGCCCCGCCTGCCCCGCCTGCCCCGGCTGCCCCGGCTGCCCCGGCTGCCCCGGCTGCCCCGCCTGCCCCGCTGCCCCGGCTGCCCCGGCTGCCCCGGCTGCCCCGCCTGCCCCGGCTGCCCCGGCTGCCCCGCCTGCCCCGGCTGCCCCGGCTGCCCCGCCTGCCCCGGCTGCCCCGCCTGCCCCGCTGCCCCGGCTGCCCCGGCTGCCCCGGCTGCCCCGCCTGCCCCGGCTGCCCCGCCTGCCCCGGCTGCCCCGCCTGCCCCGCCTGCCCCGGCTGCCCCGGCTGCCCCGCCTGCCCCGCCTGCCCCGGCTGCCCCGGCTGCCCCGGCTGCCCCGGCTGACGGAGATTGAAGGCGCCCGTAAGTTACCGACGGCGTGCATCACACCGGCCCGAGCATCGGCCGCCTGCTCGATCGCAACGCACGGCAACGTACGGCAACGCACGGCAACGTACCGATGGTGGTGATGACGGTGACGGAGTAGAGCAGCGCGCCGCTGAAGGACCACTGCCGGTCCTGGTCCTGCGGGTCCTTGCCGTCGTAGCCCTCCACCTTGGTGGCCTCCACGACGCGCGTCTCGAAGCGGCGCAGCTGCTCCTGCGCCTGCTGCGTCCAGTTCTCCTGGTACAGCACGTTGAACCTCTCTGCAACACACGAGACCAAGGGCGATGTCAGCGACTTGCGTTAACCATTTCGTTCCGATTTCGATGCGAGAATCGCCTGTCGTGAAAAAAGGGCAACTAACAGAACTCATCATGGCGCGTCGCCGTGTCCGTCAGTCTAGAGAGGCTCGACGGCAGAGGCCGACGCGGAGGCGCGCGCAGGCTGTCTGGCCTCCAGTATTCCGAATCTCTTCTCCAGCAGCGACGAACGCGGCAACGCGGCTCAGCCCCTCCGAGAGCACACAGCCGACTTCCTCTTTGATCCGTTTCCTAAATGTGATTAGGACCAAATCCGCCTTCCCCCGCCGGCCCCGCCCCGCCGCCCCGTCTGCGCTGGCACCGCTGGCGGCTCGGCTCCACTCAGTGCAGACGGGACGGGGAGGCTAAAGACTGACTACTCAAGTGGCCGTCGCGTCGCGTCGATCTGACTGGGACGGGGAAGGCAGGCCAGGGCAGGCACCCTTCGCCAGGCAGCCCGGCGTGGGCACTGCTTAGTCCGGGGCAACGGACGCACCGTCAAATGAAATGCGGCGTCAAGTGCAAGTGGGAACGCGATAGAGAGGAGTGAGCGGGGACGCGGCAATCGGAAGCATCCTGACCTCGGCCGCTGCGACGCGGGACGACCTTCCTTTCTCTCTCTCGCATCATGCAGGCAGCTTCCGAGCCCCCTTCGCGGGGCACTAGAGGGCGCCGCCTTCTCCACGACAACTCTTCGCCCACTTCCGCCGCCCGACCACCAGGCCGCAAGCAGCAAGCCTGCGCAAAACTTGGCGCGCGCACTTCTTTTGTAAGTCGCCGTAAGTCTTGTTTTGCATTAGGAGCGTCGCGACTGCCGTGCCTCTTCCACTCCATGCACGGCGTGGCGCAGCACCGCGCAGCGCGTACCGCGAAGGGAGGGGAGGGGCACTTCGCCTCCGAAGGAGGGCAAAAGCACACATCGGCTGCTCATCACGCCAACGGCCTCGGTCGCCTGCACTGTCAAAATTTGTTGTCACTTTATAACAACGTGGATGATAATGTTTTCATCACTTTCGATGCCAATCTCATCACGACTGATGACAGTTCCATCAAAGCTCCTATACTTATTACATGGGCGGGACAACAATGTCATCTGCTTGGATGGCATTGTTGTAAGGAAAATTGCCCTTGGTCATCAAGTGACGACTCAAATTTTCACAGTCCGGTGGGCGCTTCGCGAAGCGTTCACGAAGTGAGAGCCGGGAGGAAAGCGAGCGGGCCCAGCCAGTTTGCGGGGACCGCACGTAACCTTGTCGGGGACGGGGGCTGCGGGGGCTGCGGGGGCTGCGGGCTGAGGTCGCGTCGCGCCGTGGAGGAAGTGGCGGGGGAAGCGGTGGCGGCCGCGCGGCGAGGCAGCGCCGGTGTTGGGTCGGGGGAAGGCGGGGGAGGGGGGGGGGGGGCGCCAGCACCAGAGTCCTCACCGTCCTCACCCCGACGCCGCGGGAGCTGATGTTTCCACTCCGTGAAGGCCCCCGCGACCCCCGGCTGACCTTCCGCGCGCCCTGCCCCGTCATCCTCGCCACTCGGCACGCCCTGCGCCGCCCCGCGCCCCGCGCCCCGCCGCCAAGGACGCCGTCAAGGGCCAGCCCCTGGGCCAGCCCCCCGCCGTGGAGGCAAATCATCCCGACTCGGTCGACCGCTCCACTCGCCCGCCAGCCGAGCCTGGCAAGGTGGAGCTGATGCTGAACTTGGCTTTCTACGATGTCGGTTTGACGAAGACTGTTGCCACACGACTGCACCGCCACGGCGCGGCGCTTCGTCCATAATGAGGCGACCGGACGTCCGCAGCCCCGCCCCGCCAGTGCAGCGGAAGCAAGGCGGAAGGCACCGATTGGACAAGCCCGCCGGACTCGCTGCAATCATTCGGCTCGTTCGGCGCGCTGATCCAAACGGCAGCACGTTCGCGGTGCACCGCTACACCGCAAAACAGTACACTGCATAACAGGTACACCGCTACACTGCCACACTGGCACACTGGCGCGACGGAACGGCGTGGGCACGCCTTGCCCCCGCGCTTGGCTGTGCCGGCCGGAGGGGGGGGGGGGGGGGTGCGAATGGGTGTGCGGTCTACGTGACGGATAGGGCGGGGCAGCCTGGCAGCCACACGCACGTCCTGGCGCGCCATGGCGGGGGCCAGATACGTCGGTTGTTGAGTTGTCGTGTTTTCCTGTTGTTGCTTTATTTTAGTATTTTATTTTTTTCCGCCGGTACAGTGTAAAGCGCAGCCAGGCCTTTGTTCGGCTGCCGCGCGGGCTGCTACATTATCAATCCGTAAGCACGCCTCGCGTCACCCTGCCCCTGCCGCCGCGCCCCGGCCCGACAGGCTGACGGGGACGAGGAACAAGAAGGCGGACTGCGGCAAACGGCGCGACAAAACTCCCCGGCCCATCGGGGCCGCGAATTCGCGCCGTGTTCCCTGCACTGCAAGCCGACCCCACAGTGGGCCCACACCGCCCTCGGCCCGAGTCGGCGCCAACCATTAATTTCAATTACCCTTCAAACCATGGCGCTTGCCGCTCCCCGCAAGCGCGCCGAGGGAGCGCGCCGGGCGGCCCCAAAAAATAAATAAAAAATCTCATTCAACGAACGTTAATGAAAGCAGATGATACTCGTTTGGTTTTCTTCTACGGGGTAGTATGGGCTCATTCCACGCTGTAGTATGGGCTCATTCCGTCAGCTTCCTGGGCGCCATCGCTTATGCCATTTCTTGCCTTAGAGGTGGCTCCGAAGTCGGTACGAGGTGACGAGCTGTGCCCCGCACACAAGCCGAGCCGAAGCCCGCCTGAGTCCTTGCCGCGCGAGGTCCGCGGGCGCCCGCGGGGCTGAGCCTAGCCGGGCGGCATTGTTGAATTCCGCGCAGGCTGCGCCGCGGCCACAGCCAGCCAGACAGACTCACCATCCCGCCCCGGCAGCCCGCCCCTACTATATTGTTAGGATACGCACTTCGTTTCTGGACTCTAGAGTAAAAGCTAGCTGACACCTTTGTGTCTCGTAGTATTAGGTGTATATTTTAAAGCAAAGATAGCAAAGGTATCATCTGCTAAAAATAAACAGGGCGCCGGAAAAGAGGGGAGCATCTTGTGTCGCGACCCCCCTCTCTTGTCACCTCCCCGCGCGTCCCCGCGCGTCCCCGCGGTAGTCGATTGCCCCTCCATGCCCCTCATGCATAAATTGACTGTTTGGGCGCGCGTCCGCCGCGTCCCGCCCCGCCGCCCCTTTCCCGCTTGCTTCGCTGTTGGCGGCGCATCCCCTTTGTCGGTCGGTTTGCGTATTCGCTTCTTCGCGCTACACGGATTCCTCCTATCTTTTCCCACACTCTTCCAAAAGGCCCCTCTCACGATCGCCCATACACCCTAAGGAAACCCATGCCACCCGTTCCGGACCCCACCCCGCGGCTCCTGCAAACCAGAACCTTTTGGAACCCTCCACCGGCCTCACGCCCCATCCATTGAAACCCTCCACCACCCCAACCCTCCACCCGCCTCCACCCCATCCCTTCACCACTTTCTAAACCTCCCCCTCGGACTCCCCGAGCACCCCGCCCCCTTTTCTCCGCCCCTTGTAACAGCGAGCAGAACTAGCGGTGCCGCACCCCGACAAATGAAACAGGGCTGTCGCTTTCACTGGTGGCAAACAAAGGCAAGACTGCTGGAGCAGATAACTACGTTTCGTTCGGAAACAATTCAACAGCTTAACTCTGCCCGTCGCCGCCGCGCCGCCTACACCGGCTGGCTATCCGTGTGCGGCCCAGCCGGGGCCAGCCGGGCCCAGCCAGCTCTGTCGAAGCCAGCCAGGGCAGCCAGGGTCCGCACGTCCGCGCGCGTGTGTTTGTATGGATATATATTTATCTCTCAGTTGCAGCTGCTCGTCCGCCTCCCCCGCCGCCCCGCCGCCCCCCGCCCCGCCGCCCCCGCCGCCCCCGCCGCCCGCCGCCGCCCCGCCGCCCGCCGCCCCGCCCCCGCCGCCCCGCCGCCCCACCGCCCCACCGCCCCGCCGCCCCGCCGCCCCCAGCACGTTGTGGTCAGCTGGGTGCATCAGTCCGGGCTGCTGCACCTCGCCACGCTGCAGCTACTGGATATCTCCCCGGGACACCTCCACGCCGTCGACATACTCGGCGTCCTCGGCGTCCTCGGCGTCCTCGGCCTGGCCATGGGCCTGGCAGTGGCGCGGCGGGGTCACCCAGATAGCCAATTTACTCGCACAGAGCCCGTCAGTCAGGGCTGAGATGGCTCAGCTCTGTCCGTCTCTCTCGCACCCTGCCGCCTCACCCCGGCGTGCGAGAGAGAGGGAGCACCGTCCGGAGTCATCCTGCCGTCGAGGGCGTCGAGGGCGTCGAGCCTTCGCCCTTCCAGACAGGCCATTCAGCCTGGAAATTGGAGAGCGAGCTTTGAGTGCATTATCGACACAGTGTAGTGGCGTGGTGTGGGTGGCGTAGCAGGCGTCGCACAATGCAGTCCACGTCGCGCGACGCGCAGCGCGCACGTCAAGACCAGGCCATCCGGCCCGGCCGCCGCGGCCAATCATTTATTTAGCCGCCACTGGCGCCACTGGCGGCACAAACTGAAATCCGAGTCCGAGCCCATCACGGCGATTGGGGTCGTCGCGGACAGCCAAGCTGCGGTCCCGAAACAGGTTGGCATTTCTTGTCATCCAATCAGGGCGCGCCAGTGTGAGTGCAAGCGTGTGTGTGTGTGTGTGTGTGTGTGTGTGTGAGAGAGAGAGAGAGAGAGAGAGAGAGAGAGAGAGAGAGAGAGAGAGAGAGAGAGAGAGAGAGAGAGCGAGAGAGAGAGAGCGAGAGAGAGAGAGAGAGAGAGAGAGAGAGAGAGAGAGGAGAGAGAGAGAGCGAGAGAGAGAGAGTGAGTGAGTGTATGTGTCTCTGCCAGGATGGAAGCGCGGTGTTTGGCTTCGGTGGAGCGCAACAGCCACACCGGCTGGCTGGGGCTGGCTGGGGCTGGCTGGGTCTG